GGTGGTGTGTGTGCCTGTAATTCCAGGTACTTGGGAGGCTGGGGCAGGAGAATTGCTTGAACTTGGGAGGTAGAGGTTGCAGTGAACCGAGATTGTATCACTGTACTCCAGCCTGGGCAACAGAGCAAGACCCCCTCTCCAAAAAAAAAAAAAATGGTTAAGATGGTACATTTTATGTTAAGTGTGTTTTACCACAATTAAAAACATCCCAACATGGTGGCAGGATGCCTCCTTGGCCAGGTATGGTGCCCATCTTGGGCCTCCTTAGGATGCCTTCTGGGAAGAGCCTGGTAGGTCAGGACTGAGGACCCCCCTTTGCTCCTCTCTTAGCCTCATCCTTTTGGAAGGTCCAATCCTCCTTGGGGAGCAAGGCTTCTTGGCAGGCCACAGAAGCCCCACACTGGAGGTGCAACTCTGGCTCCTGGACTGCTTCTTTGTGCAAGCCTCTCTGAGAGCTGCAGTCCATCCCCGTGGTCTCCTCCACAGGCCCAGAGCCTCCTGGGCTCCTCCTCCCTGCCGTGCCTGGTTCAAGGGTGTGTCCTTTACTCCCCCACGATGGCCTCTGCCCTTCTCCACGGACTGCTGTTAATGGGAGAAGAAGGTGCCAGATGCTTCCTGTACAGTTCAGGAGGTGGCCTCCTGCCCCGTTTGATCAGATTCCACCTTGTTCTTGACGGGACCTCCCTTGTGGCCTCAGAAATGTCCAAATGTTGCCAAAACCACCTCACCTTTTCTTTTTCTCTTGTGAAGCGCTCTTAAACCATTGCCTTAAACCCGTTCCGTTTCCACTGACTAAAGCTCATATACTTCATCCCCAGAGAACACATTTTCTTTTTATTTATTTACCTTTTATTTTTGTACATAATATTCTACATATTTGTAGGGTACCTGTGATATTTTCTTATGCCCATAGAATGTGAAATGAGCAAGTTCAAGGTATTTGGGGTAACCATTACTTTGAGTATTTATTATTTCCATGTATTGGGAAAAATTCTGGTTCTCTTCTAGCTACTTTGAATTATACAATACATTGTTGTTAACTCTAGTCACCCTACTCTGCTGAGGAACAACTGAATTTATACCTTTCCTCTAACTGTATGTTCATACTCATTAACTCACTTGTCTTCGAGCTTCCACTCACCCAGCCCTTCCCATCAGGTAGTACCTGTTATTCTACTCTCTGCTTTTAGGAGGTGAACTTCCACAGCTCCCATGAGTGAGGATCTGCAGAGTTTCTTTCTGTGCCTGACATGGGGACCCCTGTTCTAGCCACATTGTTACAGATGACAGGCTCTTGTTCTTTCTTATGTCCGAGTAGCATTCTGTAGTGTGCACACCCCCATTTTCTTTATCCATTCCTCTGTTGATGGACGCAGGTTAATTCTGTATCTTTGCTGTCTTTGCTGCGGTAAACATGGGAGTGCAGGTATCTTTCTGATACAGTGATTTCCTTTTAGTAAATACCCAATGGTGGGATTGCTGGATCATATGGTGTTGTTCTGTTTTTTGCTTTTTGAGAAATCTCCATACTATGTTCCATTGTGGTTGTACTAGTTTACGTTCCCTCCAATAGCACATGAGAGTTCCCTTTCCTCACCAGCATCTGTCTGTTTTTTTTTTTTTTTTGGTCTTTTTAATGGCCATTTAAGCTGGGGTAAGGTGGTATCTCACTGTGGTTTTGATTTGCATTTTCCCTGAGGATTAGTGATGCTGAGCATTTTTTCATATACCTGTTGGCCATTTGCATGCTTTCTTTTGAGAAACGTCTCTTCATGTCCTTTGCCTGTAATCCATCTCCAGTTGATTTTTTGTGTATGGGGTGCACATTTTCTTTTTGATTGACACTGCCGAACAAAGGGCATACAAAATTCTGCAGCTTTTAACATCTCGGTTGATGGTATTACTTGAAGCTTGTTCTCCTCACATCCACGGCAACTTCCAGATACCGTGTCTGGGGTACTTGTCCTGTCCTGGCTGCCCAATGCCAGTGTTAAAATGGGCTTGGATTGCACATCTTAAAATATCGTTCCTGTCTTTCCCACATCCATAAAGTTAATGGTGCAGGGGTTGTCAGGTAATAGCAGTGCAATACACCTGTATCCTGGGTTTTGGAAATGAGCCTTAGGAAGCCCGGCTGAGCAGGTAGGGGGTTCAGCCTGGAGGGGTCACGGCTGGGGCTGAGACCCAGATTTTCTCCCACATGTCCATCTCCTTTTCCTTTAAGGATTTTCTGGCCTTCCTTCTGTCTCTGCAAGTAGAGTAGACTGGTGCCATGTGACGTTCTTGAACCCTGTCATCGAGCTCACTGTGCTTATGCTTTTGAGTGGAAGCTAAACCCTGGTCATGAGCATGAATGGCCAGACAGGGCTCACGAGGCTTAGTTTAGCCAAAGTAGTGACTGCAGGTTTTTCAGTGCAAGAGTCCACAAAGGGGAGAATTCCTCCTGGTGCCCCTGTACCCTCCTTCTGCCCATGGGAGGTTTTGGGCATGGCTGCCCCTGTGGTTGGAGGTTCTGGAATAGCAAACCCTGAAGCTTCAGTCCTCCCCGTGATAGGGGCCTGGCCGCATGGGGACTGAGAGCCGCAGTTGGGGTCTGGGGACCTAGGGATGTGGCCAGCAAGTGTCCAGGCTGAGAGCCCGTCGCGAATTGTGTGTGTCGGTGCTCCCAGTGGCTGGCATCTGTGTGGGACCATCCACCCTAAGACTTCAGCCTTCTGCACCGGTGCCAGCCGGCTCTCTGTTCCTGCCTGGGGCAGGATGAGCCCCAGGACACATGCCCCTCAGACAGGGAAGAGCATGTAGGGGAGCCACTCAGAAGCAGTCTCCTGCGGAGTCTGTGCAAATGTGGAGCCAGCCTGCTCCCTGGGCTGGTGAGATGGATGCCCCCGGGCTCCAGAGTATTCAGGTTTCTGATGAGGGTCCTCAACACCAGAGTGAGGTGTTGACCCCAATGGCATGAGACAGAGGCCTTCCTGGGTGACATAGGAGGCTTCCTGGTGCATGGGCTGGCCTGAGCTTTACCGTCTGTGGGAGCCCAGCACATCAGAAGGGGGCTGTGTCACTGTCACTTTTCACTTTATTGGAACCACTCCTCATTTCTCCCTCATTCCTAAATGGTTGCATTTATCATGGTCTTAGTGTCACTGGGAATTGCAGAGCATGGTCTAGCTCCCAGCTTTGCTGGGTGGATTTGTTCCTCAGGGCAAGGAGCTTGTTTCTAAATCAGTATCAAATGCCCCCAACTCTGTCTTCTGCTCTGCAGGCTGCAAGGAGCCTTCCCCTCAGAGGGAGGTAGAGGCAGAGTGCTCTCTGGTGAGACAGCCATCCCAGCCGGGAGAACCCTGGGGCCTGGTGTTGCCTGGCAGATGCCCCTCCGCTGGCCTCCTGCTGTTTCAGATCAGGGGACATGTGGGGGCCTTGAGGGGTGTGAGGCAGGGTGGTCTTGGTGGTTTAGTGGAGCCTGTAGCCTACTGCCTGTGATCACCCCACCTGCTGCTGGTTCTGCACAGGGGCTGGGAGATGCTGTTGCACATGTGGACATATGTACTTGATTTTTATTTGTTGTAAATAAATTATTCCCATTGAGTTAGTGCGAATTTACAGGCCCCTTTGACTAATGCAAAACAACTTAAATATCTCCTTCAAATGTTTTAGAAAAAATATCTCTTGGCTTCAAAAGGTTTCCTTTTTTTTGTACTGCTAATTTTAGCTCTCCAAGGTTGGAAGCTTTGGGAAACTCTGGAGAGAATGGTAACCACATTCAGGGCCAGCTTCACCTTTCATCGCCCTCTTAGAGTTGAGTTTCTTTTCGAAGGAAGACCTTTCTGTCATAAATGATTTTCCCATAGAGCTGCTTTCTAACCCCCAGTTTGCCTGTGTGGGAGGACAGATGGGGTCTCCCAGTGCCAGCTCCTTCTTCTGCAGCCATTGCTGTCCCCACTAGACATCCAGCAAGGGGCCTGTTCCTTGGGTGGGCAGAGGAGGCCTCTCTGAGGGGACTTGGAAGGGAGATCCATCTGAGGCTGCCCTGGGGGCCTGGCTGACATAGTGACTGGGACCTTTCCTTCCAGGGGTGCAGGTAGCCTCCTTGGCCAGTGTCTGGATCCCTGTTGCTCATTCAGTGATGCGGTGCCAGCTTCCAGCATAGTGCTGGGTGGAGCTCTCACAGCATTGCCCAGCACCTGCTTTCTATGTGGACCTGTGTGTGGTCTATGACAGGTGAAGAGAAAAACAAGATGGTGCCCCAGGGCTCGAGCTCACACGCCACTTGATCAGTCTAGCCAGGGAGCCTTGGCTTTTGTGTCCCCAGTTGTGAGGCTGGGAACGCTCACATACCACTGGCCTCACTTTGCATGCATGACTCAGATCCTCAGTGTGTCCTCCTGAGTCCCAGTGTTGAGTTAGAAGATGTTGCTTCGGTCCAGGTCAGCTGCTGCTGATCATTGGGGTGCACTTTGAATTTCGAAGTGGCTATTTCATGTTGGAGTCTGAGCTTCCTCATTTAAAAAGTGGAAAACAGTGAACAACAGGGTTTCTCGGGTATTCACTGAGAATCTGGAATCATTCTGGAAAGTATAAAGTGCTATACCTGGGGATCTCTGATTTTATTCTTGTTGTTATATGTGGGTCTTCTGAAGAAGAGATAAGAAAAGGAACCTAAAACTCGCTGAGCACCCGCCAGGCGCCTGGTGGGTGTTTTTTAAACATGATTTCATTTCCTCTGAAGAGTGACCCTGTTAGGTAGTGTCTCTGTTTCAACAGGTGAAATAAAATCAGGGCTCATTAAGGTAATCTCCCGGCGTTGCATAGGGGTGGGGGCTGTGGCTGAACCCAGGTCATAGTGAGTGCATGCTGCTGTGGACTCGGATCTGCAGGGTTCACACATCATGAGTCCCAGAGCATCAGCTACAGAGGTTGCTTTTGGCCTTCTGTTCCCTATGCAGAATCAGGTTCACTTCCAGGGGACAGCTGGGACTGAGCATGCCCTCTTTATCCTGCAGGACTCCGGAAGACCTTTCCAGATTTGTGGTGGAGCTGCAGCAGAGGGAGCTTGCCTTGAAGGACAAGAACAGCGCCATCACCAGCAGGTAAGCTGGGCTGCCCAGGGCACTTATGAGGTTGTGTTTGCTTTGAAGAGTTGGGGCAAGTGAGAGCGTGTGCCCTCCTGGCTCTCTGGAGGATGGCTGTGCTTCACTGTGTGGTTGGTCCTGGTCTGGGATGAGATGGGGGAGCAGGGATTTGAGGGTAGGGCTTGCACCATGTTTCTGTCACTTGCCATGAGCCTTCCCTGAGGCATCACCGTCCATTGTTCTGACAGTGGGGTCTAGGGGTCGGCCTCCTGTTGTGGGGTCCCTCCTTGGATCAGGAGGTTTCTCATCTTCCCAGCAGGGTGTGGGCTCCCTGTGACCTCATCATCGTGTAGAGACCTGGTCCCTGGGGGCAGGAGCATATGTGCCTGGGCTTGTGCCCTCCAGGAGGGCCTGTGGGGATTGTTCCCACAGTCTGGCACCCTTGACGGCAGGTTACAAAGCTCTTGCTAGGCAGTTTTAGCAGCTGGCACGTTGTTCCCTATCTAGCAGGAAATCCAGACGTAGGCAGTTGCCAGGCCTCATCTAGGGCCTGGTTTTAGGTTTCTTGCCTCCTGACAGCAGAAGTGAGGGGACCTTCTCAGCACCCTGTCTCCAGCTCTGATATCTCCTGGTCATCTGCGGTTCAGCTCTGTTCTCATGCTAACTACCCAGAGTCAGTGCAGCCCTGCAGGTTGAAGGCTTGGTCCCATGAAGCAGCCCCCTCCCCACTTCAGACGCCATGAGTATTGCCCCCTCAGGTTACCCACACTCCTGTCCAGCTACAAAGTTGGGGCACCCCGACTTCCTCCTTGGGTTTTTTAAGTTCTCTGTGACTTACAGAACACAGGATAGTGCTTGACTTTCTATTCTTGGTTCATTGTATAGAACCCAGTTCAGGAACAGCCATATGGGAGAGCTACACAGGGCCGGGGCTGGGGAGGGGTGCGGAGCCTCTCGCCCACTCCAGGCAGCCGCTCACAGTGCCCTGGGTCCTCCGACCCCGGGCGCTCCGCCATCACGTTGTTCAGGTATTCACAGCCCCGGCTCTGGGCCCCACTGCTCTCTCCCTGAGGTGGGTGATGGGGCTGGGATATTCCCAGCCAGTCCTCATGGCAACAGCTTGTCTGTCGCTAGTGGGCCCACCCTGAGTCGTCACATCAGCGCGAATGGAGGTGTGATTGGAAGGGGCTCACTCTGAATAGCAAGAGACATGCCTGTCACTCAGGAAATCCCAGGGGCTTCAGGGAGCCTGGGATGAAGATCAGACATGTGTTTCTTCTAATCACACACCCTGGCTCTTCTCTGGTTTCACTTGTGGCTGTGAGGGGGCCATACAGGCTCAGGCATCACACCCATAGGTGGAAAGGAGAGGTCTCTTTCTTTTCTTTTCTGCACAAGAAAGCCTTTCCTAGGACCCCCACTGCCAGTATGTGCCCCTTATGCCTCCTTGGCCAGAATGGAGTCTTATGCCTGCTCCTGCTGAAGATGGAGTTACCATGAGGGACTGAGCCTGTCTGGTGGAACCCATGGGGCTGCTGGACAGTGGCATGGGCTTGGGGCAGAGGAAAGGGCATGCAGCAGGGCCCGGGGACCTCTGTGTACTGCATGGCTGACCAGGCCGTGGGTCTGTGTGGAGAGCCTGAAGCCCACCTGTTTGCCATTGATGATCAAGCTCATCCTCATCCTCCTGCAGAGAGTGTTTTAATAATTTATTATTAGCCAGAAGGAGATTTCTTATTTTGGGGGCTGATGTCACTTTGAAAATTGGCTTTTAGAAGCATCTGGTTGTGTTGGACATAATCACATCAATTTACTTAAAAACCTCAAATGATAAAAATTGCCTTTTGCTTTCAAAGCTACTGTCAGATGAAACAGGCATTAGAAGTGATTTGAAATTAAAGCTTTAACATTTTACCAGGCGATCCTTTTCATTTCACTTTGGAAATGAGACAGAATGAACTGTTAAGGGAAAGGAAACTTGCCTGTACTTTTCTCCCACCAAACAGGGAGGTGCTTCCTAAAGCTATTTGCCTTGACCAGGAGCAGTAGGCCCCGTCTCTGTGTCCAGGGCCACATGGAAGGGAACGTTCCCATCTGCATGTTACCTGCATTGCCTTTGCTGTGGTCACAGATATGGATAGAGCCCATGGGGGGATTGGTTTGGGAATGGGGTCTTTGCTCCAGGGAGCATCCTCTGCAGTGGGCAGGTGGTCCTCACAACCCTAGCCGTGGCCAGCCTCTCAGGACCTGTGGGCTCCCTCTGAGCGCTGGAGTGCCACCCTGGGGAAGGGTGAGGTTTGGGGCACCCCATGGAGGCACTTGGTGCTCTGTCCTCTTCTGTGAAATGAGGTCTTGGGGGTGAGACAAGGGCCACAGTACTGCTCTGGTTTGGGAGGTCAAAGGGAGAAGCCGCCCTGAAATCCTGGTTTCTTGCAGGTGTGTCCCAGCCTGGTTTCTTGTTTGTGACTATGTGCTGGCTTCTGGGCTCTGGCTTCACATGGGATGTGTGGGGCTTCTTCAGCCAAGGTGCAGGCTCCAGATGGGGCTGGTAACAGCCCTGCCACCCATCGCCAGGTGCACTGCAGACACTTCCCTGGGATGGGGCAGTGGAGAGGCGCAGGCAGCCTCTGGGCGTGAGGTTGGGGCTCCAGGTCTGTCTTGCCTGCAGGGTCTCGGGGCACTGGTCTGCTCCTTGCTGGTCATGTGACTCCTTGCTGGCCCTCTCTTTATCTCTGTGAGCCAAAAGGTGCTGACAGTAATGACTGGGTTGCTGTGAGGTCTAAGCCCCCTCAGCTGCACCTGGGCACTGAGCAGTCCCAGGGTCTCTGTGGTGCTGCTTGCTGAGAGGTGGAGACTTCCCAACCAAGGCTTTCTGGGACCTGGTGACCCCGAGTGCTCAGCCCTTTTGTGTACTTCCAAGGCCCAGGAAGGAGGCAGACCCTAGGACAGGTGGCGCTGGTGGTGTTCACTGAGGTCTGGATTAGTTCAGCTGTGGCCTTGGCGCTTGAATTCTGGCCTGTCCCCTGGGCTGCTGCTCTCTTATGTGGTAAGACACCATGTTCATCGTGGCCTGCTGTGGTGGGGTCAAGGAGCCTTGCATGGTTGAACAGCTGAGCACATTTCTACAAGTCTCTTACAGGTGGTCAGATAGAAACTCAGATAAGCGGGAAGGAGGCAGCATGGCAGAATATGTCGGGCCATGGTGGCCCAGATCTGAGAGGGCTTCACCAGGCGGGCCTCATTTTAAAGTCCCTTTTGTTTGTTTCTCATTGAAAGTAGCTTGAAGAGCCCTGGTCCAGCAGAGGTCACAGGGTCATGAGGGCAGCTTCCATGCATTTTCCCTGGTCTGTGCAGATCAGCGGGCACGTGCTTGTGTCCATACACGTTCTCCTCTATGTTTTGTACTGGGTAAACTTGGCTGTATCCATCTGTCCCTGCTAGTGAATGCTGTTGTCGCCATCTGAGGAGCTTTTCAGGGTGCAGCTCTGCTGCCCTGTTTCTCGCAAGCCCAGTGCCTGATGCTTCCTCTTCGGGGCAGTGCTGCTATGACAGTGCCATTAGGGTGGGCTTGTGTGGCAGCATTTTGGAATGCTGGTGCCTTGGGCCGAGCTTCCAAAGTGATGGCTGGGTCAGTTGTATGCCTGTTTTCAGGAGCTTGGCTTTTAGAAGATGAATATTGTCTATCAGCTGGTGTAGCGTGCCCCTGTGAACGGCCTACACAGCACAGTCTTGATGCACTTCCTGGGCATTGCGTAACTTTCCTCCTCTGCTGATCTGATGTGTGGAACAGAGCACCCTTCCCACAGTTACTGTCTTAGTGACTTGGTGGCCCTCTCACCAGTGCGATACATGTCCACGTCCGTGAAGCCAGAAGCAAGTAGGTACCTCAGCTGGTCCTGTGTGGGTCGGTCTCCTCTTTGGAGTTCCTGCTGTTGCTGCCTTCGTTGAAGTTTGCATCCTTTTCTCTCCATAGTTATTGCAGTAGCGTTCCAGCCTGTTTCAGGCTGGGGAAGAGCCCGGAGCTCTCCTACCCAGAAGAGTTCTGAGGCAGCGAAGGCAGCCAAGGGAGGTGAACTTGCTATGAAACCTGGGCAGAAATCAGATCATCCTGCAGTGAGCAGATGCCAAGTAGGAAGCCATTGAGTGCCTCATTTGAGGAAGGTAAATGGCATCCTATCTTGGAGGTATCTGCTGGAGCAAGAAGGGGTTTTCATGGCATTAAGTTGTGGTTCTGACCCTTGTACTGGTGAAGCACAGTTCTAAGCACTGCTTGCTGTAAGCCGGACTGGAGTTTCTATCTCCATGTTTGTGGGTTCTTAGGACTGGAGGCTGAAAGCCCAGTGGTGGCACCTGTGCTGTATCCTGGTCTTGGGGCTGGAGTTTGTAGAGGCAAGAAGCTTCTGGAACTCTCAGAGTGGGACTTACTGCTTTCCAGGGTTTTGAGGAGCCTGCTGGTTAGCTTTATGTGGATTTACTCAGGTGCTGCACTGGAATTCTGTCTTACCACAGAGAGAGTATCTGTGGGGCTGCTTGAGGATTAAGTGGGATGACATTGATAACGCGCCTGGTGTAGCAGCTCTGGGCAATCCACGGGACGTGGTGCTGTGACAAATGGTCGGGGTTGGTTGTGGAGCTGGGGGCAGGCAGGGCTCTCGGTGGGCAGAGGGGCAGCCTACAGGGCACTGGCAGTACGCCTTTTTAGGAGGGTGGGGTGCTTGCCTGCATTTTGGCCTAGGGCTTGGGTCAGAACCATCAAACCCCTCCTCCTGTGTGTTTCTCCCTTTCTTTAGTCGTGGACAGGTAGGGTGTCATCAGTCACTGGTATGAGCAGAGCCTGTCAGAGCCCCTGGTCCTCTTGACCTTGGGATAGGAGTATCATGGCAGTGCAGGGGAACCTGGCCTGGTTTGTGCTTGAGTCTTGGTTTCAGCTCTTTGAATTTGAGAATGCAGCTCCTGGTTGTGGGGCTGAGGACAGAGCATGCTGTTCAGAATCACTGGGTGGATCTGGTGTGCCCTCT